TAGAAGAGCTCACAATCCACATTAACGATAAGGGCTGAGGTTGTGCTGACCAAAAACGGCTCGCAATGGAAGGGGCCATCATTCGAGGAATCACCAGGCCTCGTACCAACTGAATAGGCATATTCGTAACAGTTGCTGACAGCTCCGTGGTGACTCACCTAAGTTCTTCGATGGTGACACGGCCCTCCGTGTCACAGATTGCTCGACAGGTACTGGCTGAAGAGGGCAAGAGAACAAGGGTTTAATTTGCGAGCAACGACCTACTTTAGGGGCCCTGAAGGAAATGCTCTTGACCACTCCGGCTGATATGTCTTCGAACCAAGCCTGATGGAAACTGGTCGGCGCGTGAACTCTTTTGATCCTCACTTTGATTTTAAAATTGAAGTCGTAGAACCTCACAGCACCGTCTGAAGAACCAACGACGATGAAGTCATCATGCACCTCGAAATCGGACAAAATAGTGGTGACACAGGAGATCGTAAATTTCCACCTTGAGGACGGTCAGGCTAACGCCCTGAGCGGCGAGTCGTATGACCTTGACAGCCCTTCTATGGCGCGCACTGGTCGGGTCAGAGCCAGCGATGAGGGAGTGGTCCCATATGACCACATCGCCGTCCACGGTGCCGGTGGCCACCTGGACAGCCACCAGTGACTGTAGCGGTAAGCAGGGGTCAAGACCTGGGATGTGCTCGGTAGGAAGGCTGTCATAGTGAAGTCCCCGACACGCTGATTCAAGTCTTTAGCATTCACGACAGGGCAGTAGCAATTGAAAATAGCCGGGGGGACCTGTGAGTCGTATGTGAGTTAAGAATACGGTAGAATATGTGAACCACCTCGGTGATGGAGGGTTTGGTGGCTGCTTCTATATCCCAACGCCAGAAGATTGCGCGTCGCATCCCATTCGAGGCGATCTCAGTCACATTCCACCGATTGAAAAGGACCATAGTCTGCAAGTCATTGCTGGGTATCTGCATCGACGTGCATGAGCTTGGTCAGACCAGGTTCCTACTCGGTGACTGCAAAGGGGCTCCTGTCGGTCGGTGTCAGTCCAGTCCCAAATAGCCATGGTTTGGCTAAGGCGCCGACTAGCCTCTACGGGGTCTACAGAGTAGGGTAGGCAGTCGGTGATGTGACAGAAATGTGGTATCACCCTGGGAGTCTTTTCCATCATCGTCTGTCTCTGCAGGGGCCTACAGGCACATATATGTGTATAGACGACGGACTTTGTACTTGCGTGTTACGATAAACTCTATGAATCGCTTACTATGGCCGATAGCGTCACGATGAACTTTCCATCAGGTGACATATCAAGGGCTACGACTCCATACGGATGCGGGTCTGCGATGGTACGTATCGGTGCAGTTGTGTGCCTTGAGAACTAGACTGGACCGTGCTCGACCTTTGGGTGGTCTGAGGTACCTATCCCAGACCACGAGAAGGCTCTTCCTCCCAGCATCTGCTGTTACGATGAATTGTCTATCACGACCCATCACAGTCGCACTGATGGTATTCACATGTCCCTGACAATGGTAACCGCAGTAGACCAGGGGAGGTTGACAGATACCAACCTGTAGGAGACGTTGTTGACCAGTGGTAGAGTCGTAGATGACCCCACAGTTGCCCGTAGGATAGAACACCTCAGTTCCACCCTTCTCACCGGCTGTGCTCAGGTTAAAGACACAGTCAGTGAGGTCCTTATTGAGGCCTAGAGAGGATGAGCTTATACGCCACCATTCAGCCTACCAAGGTTCCACTCCAGGGTTAGAGCATTTGCATTCGAAGTTTTCGCGGGTGGCACCATTAAGAACAGATGAAAATGGCCTCTACTAGAGCGGTCTTGTTATTGGGTATTCAGTTCCTGATGGCTCTCGGACATGTACTCGTCCCGTGTGAGTTACTCGGAAGCGACGGGCTTTCGTACACGCAGCCACCTTTGGGCTCGGTTGGTGAATCACAGGATATTTAATGAACGTTATTGACAATATCGTTATTAATAACATATGAGTTTGAGTCATCACGGAAGTGATAGGAATGAGAGCCCGGAGTGGAGCGTTCATCAACCAGTCCCACAAGCAGAGCCCACGGTACAGGCAACGCGTGTGACGAAGAGTCGACTCATCCTATCATCTTGCGCTGAATCGTCACGCGCCACAAAATTCTCTGGGAATTGCGACTGAACGAAACCGCCTATAAACAACCGCAACGAGCAGCATTGTAGCACCAAACGTGATGTAGTGTCGATGAATTTGTGTCTACACTCACGACGAAAGCATTCATTCAGTGAGTCGGTTCCTGACTTCTGAGAGAAAAATGTTAAACTCTTTTTCGACTTTGACTTGTCGAAGGTTCAGCCTTTTTACCCTGTTAGCTGGACATGGCCAGCACAGCACCGTTAAATCTGGCGAGAAGCTTACCTACGGCCTTCGGGCAAGGGGATTCATCATATAGCATATGGTGCCTCAGTGATGGTACTCCCTTCACTAAGGGCCTCAACTATCCCGTCCACTACGACTCTGTTATCTCATCGCGAGAGAAGGGAGCGTTCTGGTATGAGCAGGTCGAGTTGGAGCCTCCATCGCGGCCTCAAGGTTGGTCCACTGAGGAGTGGAGGATCGCGTGTGATGCTGTGGCCCATGGTGTCACCGTCACCATCTTCGAGAGGATGCAATGATCTGGCCCCGGTCTCTCTGGCTGTTATCGATATAATACTCAAGCCCGCAGCAGCGGCCCTCCACAAAGTCTTATTCAAAATGTCTCATTTTTGGACTTCGTGCCGTCATCGTCCAGTCACGTTGACTGGCATCGATGAGCCTATCACCGGTGCCGTCAATGATCATTCCGTATAGGATACCACTAGTCGATATAGTTTCAGTTTATGAAGATCACTACAGCTTAGGCGGTAGTCTCTGACTCGTTCCACCTTGCGTTAGTGAATCAGTTGCTCAGGGGGGTGTGGGAGGACAGACCCTGTCAGGTCTACCGAGTAATGGTCGGAGTATTACCAGAGCCCGGCGAGGGGCATGGGGATCTCCTTCTGTCCATACCAACTGATGAGGAACTACGTCAGGTCGGCACTGAACGCGTCCCTATCGAAAGAACCAGGAAGTCCGCTCGGTAGTGTTGGGGTTCTCACCGTTGTGTATGTGTATATTCCATAGCAGATACCAGGATTTATGCGATAGTTTTCGCGATGATATTCGTGGTAGCGACGATAAACTCAGACTCTCCGCGTGCAATTTCGAGCTGCAATACGCCAGTACCTATTTCGCCAGGCTGAACATGCTCAAGTGAGTGGCACACGCTGAGTGAATGGTGAATTGGTAAGAGTCAGAAACGCCATCGTGGAGGCTGCTAAGGCGAAGTGGGTCGCCTCCAGAGTCATCCCTTCTGACCATCTCTTGGAGGGGATTGGACATGTCACTGATCGGGAGCGCGGGGTGAGTCTTGTGAGTGATGCTCGGCCAGTTAGAAATTCTCTAAAGGTTACCGTGGCCATATACGGCTGTGTGGTAAAGGAGGTGAAATTACGTCCGTCGGTTTTGGCAGAAATACAGAAAACTGCAGGGATCAGTGGCATCCACCCAGCCATGGTATGAATTCCCATTGGAAGAGTCTGTCCCATTATTGTTGGTCATAGACGTCTGAAGGGTACTCCATGACGGATTCCTATACCTCTGATGAGGACAAGATCTACCTCGAGGATAGCAGCTCTCGTATACGGTTAGTCGTGAGAGAGGGCGCTACTGTGGACCTGAACAGGCTTTGTCAAGGACTGGTGAGTAGCTGGAGTGCATTGAGGCAAGACTTGGTTGTTTGACAAGATGGCATCCTTGGTAGGTCCTAGCATTCAAAGGGACCAGAGGCCGGGGGTGCTTTGAAGTTGATGAAATGGTGAGCCGACTACGATAGAGCGTAGTGGGCGTGAGGTGGTGCTCAGGTGTACCCTCTATCACTTAGCCCGAAGGCCATACCTAGCAGTAGGGATGCTGAGTATGTTGGCTTCGTCAGTGGACTACGCCTTGGGCAAGAGTCAGTGGCTCGATCAATGCTGGCGGAGTGGATCACTGGAGCTGCTGGTGATACTCTCACGGTCGTAGTGCTCTACAATAGGGTTGATCAGTCGATAAGGCCGAGACTGACGCTGCCCCGTCAGCCATGGTGAGGTTGATCATAGCTGGTGACACGTTGGGGGGTGTCACCACTCAGGCCGACTTGAACGGCGTCGATAAGTGGGCATTCCTATGTTGGTCATATGGATGAATCAATCTGTCACAGGTTCCTAGCAAGAGTCGCCAAGTCAGTGCCGGTGACTATCCTGCCGGGCGCACAGGATCCGGCCAATTTCGCCCTACCACAACAACCATTGCATTCTGCACTATTCCCGGAGTCTAGGAAGATCATGGACCTCACTGCGGAGACAAACCCGGCCAGGTGATGGTCTTGAAAGCCATTCTTTTGTATAAGGGATCTGTCAGGTTCCAAGTTGGCGACTGTGTTTTCCTCGGTAGTACAGGGGCATGCGTGAAGGAGGTTACACAGTATTCAACAACCACCAACGTATTGGGTAGAACGTTGATGCTATTCACCTTATCATTGGTAGTAGTGTTATTTTCTGTTAGATGCTCTGGAGCTGACAGCGAGGGGCCGCGTGATAGCTCCTACGGCACCAGATACGATTGCTTGCTATCCGTTCCCTAGCTTCGACCCTCTGGTCATCACTGATGGTGAGTCGCACTTCTCTTAGACTGGCAGGACCATGCCTACTTCAGAGGAGCCTGTTGGCCATGTGATGTTCTCGGCCAACCACGACAAGGCCGAATTCAGAGTAGTTGATTTTGGCGATGCTAAAGTCACTCTGCTGTCGGTCAGTGCATTCACTTCTGGTACCTGCAAAGCCTGTTCTCTCATAGTGTTCGCATTCATAAATCTTAGACCCGGTACTGCTCCTGGTCAATATCAACGACCCGGTCGATGTGAAGAGGGTTAGCTTCCGAGCTGATGGCATCTCAGAAGAACAGAAGGGCGATGCTGATACCCCAATGGACGAGTCTTCATAATTCATTAGACTTTTCAATGATTGTTTTGTGTTGTTAGAGATGGTCACGGAGAGAATGAGATCTTGATATTTGTGGATAGTCGACGGAATAGACTCCCACAGCTCATGCGTGTGACATGCAACTTCTTTTGAGAACACTATGAGTCTCTATTGCTGTCTTTAAACTTGAAATCTATCTCTGTTGTAGCAGTGTTTGTTTCAGTGGGATTCTATCTATCATCACAGCTGGCATGCAAGCTACTCGACCAGTCACTACTCATTGGAGAGCTGATGATGCTCGTAGTTCCCAATAGTTCAAACCCTCGTCATATGCGACATCGATTTCATCTAGGGCTTAGCGTATATTGAAGTCACAACAGAGACACAATCTGAATGTCTAGGCTAGCACTGTGTCCATCATAATACCGCACATTCATGAATCATCCATAAACGATGTCATGTTGGTCAACTATTAAAGGGGCTGTTTGTATTTCCTTCACGCCTCGTTATGTTCTATTGTGGATCTGTTATATTCTCATCGTAGCTGGGTACTCCATCGCTACTTATTTTTCACAAGTACATCCAACTGATGCCATCAACGGTTACATCGTGGCAAGCTATTTGGCGGTTATTGTGATCATACCGCCCCCTCTTATCGTGTACTACTCTTGGCAATTGGAAGGCAATCGTAGACAACGAGATCAACAGCGCCGAGAACTCGAACTAGCCAGTGAAGATTTCTCAATGAAATGGCGGAAATGGCTGGACAAGCACACCCAAGTCGGCCCCTATGAGAAGATTTTGCTCGGGCGGGGTGTCGCTCGGGGCATCTCGCAGTGTTCGACCAACGCCGGTGATGCTGATGGCGAGTCTTGTTCTATATGTTTGGTTGAATTCGAGGAAGGCGACATACTCCGCAACTTGCCCTGTAGACATATGTACCATGAAGACTGTTTTGCTGAATGCTTTTCTCGACTGCCTCGAGGTAAGCACCATAAATGCCCAATGTGTCGTGCCCGAATTGGTCCAGAGATTCGTGGCCATCTGAATGAAATTGGGGATGTGATTTCCCACTAGACGTTTTTCGATTGATCGCGGTGTAATACTCTCATTTTACCAGCTGTTAGCTTAGCGGTCGCATATTAGCTACAGCGTTCTACCCATATGTTAAATTTGGTTTCAATTTCTGTATTTGATGTGCTCCATTTCTACACTAAAGTCGTTGTGTTGAGAAAAGGGGTACTCGGTTTTATCGTATCATGACAGGTGAAATTTTTGGAAGACAAATAACACAATACTTAGCTGCTGTCTAAAAGGCTTCTTCAATACATGTGAATATTTCTTTCCCTTCGAGCCGACTGTCTGCTCGGACCTGGGATGGATTTTCGGGGGTTATTTTGCTTGCTTACGTCAGCTTTTTCAGTTTTCGCGTTTTCCATGAAGAGCTTTGCTACTTTCACTGCTATTGCCTGTTTCGGTGTTGTTGGTGCTACCACCAGCAATGAGGCTCATGTTGATGATATCCTGTCGACTGTCCTCGCCACTGGAGTTCCTGAGATGAACTCCATCATTTCTGCTAAGCTTCCGAAGGCTATGGTTTTCAATCCGCCAGTCGGCATTGCCCGTTCTAAGCATTCCGGGTTCCTACACATCGAAGAGGGTTACAACGTCTCACTACTACAATTGAATAATGTAGACTCACTGAAAGTGGATCTGCTCAAGCCCTCTGTCACGTCAACTAACGAGTCTCTCACTCTTGGTATGGACATTTCTGCCAAGTTCAGTGAGGCTCCCAGAATTTTCGGCTACGTTGACGCATACTATGGCAAGCTCAGTGCTGAGGGCGATGTGCAAGTCTCAATTGACGAGATTGCAATGAACTCTCGCATCGATGTCACTTTGTCACTTGTTGACAATAGTGGTATTATGGTTACTGCTCATATTGACGAGCTCAAGATGGACCCCATAAACGTGGAAAATCTCGACATTTACTGGGGACTTGATGGCCACGAAGTTCCCCATTGGTTGGACGATGTATTCAATGACTTGCTGAACCTGAATGTCGATCTTGCGGAGAGCATCGGGCGCTGTATTGAGAAGGAGCTCGTCAAAAAGTTGACCGCTGAAGGAGTTGTTGTTGGAAATGAAGAACTTAGTCATTTCGCTCCCTTAATTTTCCCAATGTTGTTCGACAAGATCAATGCTTTCCTTCAAGCATGAGCTATTCTTCTGTCTGTCTGTCCAGTTTGTTTGGACTGTTTAGACATCATCTTCATCGACTCCTTTGAGTCATGTTGTCTCGAACATCGAGTGTCGTTGCGTGCAATAGTAGTGAGTGTGTTCGACGTAGGAAAGGGAGTATAACGCAAAACCTGTTCACGGTTAGCCGCAGTACATGTCTCGTATAAAATACCCATATAGTTGATGCTAGTAGTAAAGTCTCAGGAGAATTTCGAGCTAGCTGACGAGACTTTAGTGTTGCCAATTCTGAGGGTCTTAGGAACGGCAAAGAATCCTTCAACTTGTGGCGTGTTCCCGGCTGTTACGACGTATTCGGTCTAGGGAGCATCTTAGTATCATCGCTTGGCCTCCTCATCGCAGAAGTGATTTGATTACAGAACTTACTCATCAACCAGAAAATGTTGTGCGGGTTTAGTAGAATAGCGCAGGTTCGAATCCCAGGTCCGCCATTTTTCCGTAATCCATTATTCCGCACGGGATGAATTGGCGTCTCAGAGATTGTTTGTGATCTGTTCCGTTGGTGGAATTGTCCCTTCGTGTTCAAAGCAGGCCGTAGGCTCGTTCTCTCCCTCCTCAGTGAAACATTAACCAAGGGCCTCCACTGGGACCAATTTGTCCACTGGGATCCCGGGCCGGACTTGCACGCGTGTACAGCAGCAGTCTCTACGTCACACTTGAAAGTTTTACTACTTTTCGAATGCGTTTTCCTCCGACTACTGCTACCCTAGTCGCCATCTTGACAGTGCCTGTGTCAGTGACTTGGGCCTGTACAACAGTGGCTGTTTCCAAAGAGGCGTCCAGCACGGGTGTGGCCATGGTGGCTCATTCGGCTGATTGCTTCATTTGTGACTCCAGAGTTGCCCTGGTCCCTGCTCGTGATCACAAGGAAGGTGACCAGCATGACGTTTTTGGTATCAATCAGCCCTATCCTAGGGTCTACAACAATCGTGCCGCTATCTATTTGCCCCCTGCTGGTAAGAACTTCACTAAGCCTAGTGCTAGGATCCCTGAGGTCACTCGAACCTACGGTATGTGGGAGTCTAACTATCCCCTTATGAACGAGGAGGGCCTCACAGTAGGGGAGTCCAGTACGAGCTCTAAGGTCCCTGGTGGATCCGGTGTCGATCTTGCTGATCCTAAGACTGGTAAGTACGGTGAGGCTAAGTTCAGCATCAAAGAGCTCATCCGTATCGGGCTGGAGAGGTGCTCAACGGCCGAGTGTGCCATCAAGGAGATGGGCAATACCGCTGTGAAGTACGGCTTCTATCCTGAGACTGTTGCGGCTGGTGAGTCACTTACCATCGCAGACACCAACGGCTCTACTTGGGTGTTCGACATCAGTCATGACTCTACCGGTAAATCGGCTATTTGGGCGGCCCAGAGGGTCCCTGCTGGCCATGTGGCTTCTATTGCCAATCAGTATACTATTAGGGAGATCGACGAGAACGACCCGAATAACTTCATGTTCTCTCCGAATGTGAAGTCAGAGGCTCTCAAGCTTGGCTTTTGGGACGGCAAGAGTCCCTTTAGTTTCATTGGAGCTTACGGTGTGAACACTATCAAGCCCAGTTACACTAGCATCAGGCTGTGGGCCATCTACAACCTAGTGGCACCAAACTCTGGCCTGGAGTTCAACATTGATCCCTTCAAGTTACCTTTTTCGGTGCCTGCTGAGAAGTCCATCACTCGTGAAGATCTGATGAACATCTTCAGGACCAGCTACGAGGACACCCCATTTGACCTGAACCAGGGCATCCTGGCTGGTGTCTATCACAACCCGTACAGGATTGAGGGTGGTGATGGTATGACTCAGGTGCCTGGTGAGATCGCTAGAGGTATCTCCATCCCTCGTACAACGTACAGTATAATAGGTTACCCAGACCCGGCTAATCCCGTTGTTTTCTATGGTACTGATCAGCCTAGTTCTAGTGTGTTCGTACCGTTCCTCGCCAAAACTCTGAAGGAGGCTTCTGCTAACGATCTTGAGGGCAGTAAGAAGTTGTACTCTTCCTATTATCAGCTGGGGAATAGGGCCAACTTCAGCACTGCAAGGGACAGCGCTTGGTGGGCCTTCGACTTCCTCTCCAACTGGATGAACATGAACTACCAAAACATGTCTCAGCAGTACGTGAAGCCGGCCATAGCTGAATGGCAACCTAAAATGATCGCTGCTGCTGAT